ACCTGAGCCGAAGGCAGACGCTTAATGACTGAGCCACCCAGGCGCCCCGCTAATTATCTTGGAGAATGTCCCAGATTCTGGATTTGTCCAATTGATTTCTCATGGTGTCATTTAAACTTATATTTTAACACCCTGTATTTTCTTTTAAAAAGATTTTATTTACTTATTTGACAGAGAGATAGAGAGAGCCAGAGAGCACAAGCAGGGGGTGGGGGGAACAGCAGAGGCAGTAGAAGCAGCAGACTCCCCGCTGAGCAGGGAGCCCGACGAAGGGCTTAATCCCATGACTTGAGCCAAAGGCAGACGCTTAACCGACTGAGCCACCCAGGCGCCCCTAACCCCCTGTATTTCCTATACACTGGAAATAAAGGCAAAATGTCTTGAGTAGATTCAGGATAAACAGGAGTATTCCAGCAGGAGTATCTCATGAGTGATGTGTAATTTATATTGCCTTTTATCTGGAGGAACATGATTATCAGGTTATTAGTGATCCTAACTTTGATCACTTGAGTTGGATGCTAAGCACAAATCTTGTATTTTTTTTTAAAGATTTTATTTTTAAGTAATCTCTACACCCAACGTGGGTCTCGAACTTATGACCCCAAGAGCAAGAGTTGTACGCTCTACCAACTGAGCCAGCCAGGTGCCCCAGCACATGTCTTTTATTAATGGTACTTTTTCCCTTTTCAAATTGAGTAATATATAAGGTCATACTTTGGTATTATGACATAATCTGTTTTTTCTTCAATCTCTAATGATTTTAGCATCCATTGGTGATTCCTGTGTGAATCAATATTTCAGTGGGGGCTACAAAATGGTGATTTTTGGGGGGCGCCTGGGTGGCTCAGATAGTTAAACGTCGGCCTTTGGCTCGGGTCATGATCCCAGGGTCCTGGGATCGAGCCCCGCATGGGGCTCCTGGCTCAGCTGGGAGCCTGCTTCTTCCTCTCCCACTCCCCCTGCTTGTGCTCTGTCTCAAATGAATAAATAAAATCTTTAAAAAAAATGATTTTTAAAATTTTGCCAATCTTTCTATATTTTTTAACTGGCTGTTCTTCTATAAACATCCTAGTATCTGAAGTAACACCCTGACACTGATTTAGAATAAGTTCTAAGTGTACTGCCTTTGTTAACTCATTCAAATGAAATGGCAGTGCAACCACCAAATGCTTTTCTGCATTTGAATTTTGTATCACAAAAACTGAACAAATTTTATTACATGGCTCCTCTCAAGAATTATGCATGGAGGGACGCCTGGGTGGCTCAGTCAGTTAAGCTTCTGCTTTGGGCTCAGGTCATGATCCCAGGGTCCTGGGATCCAGCCCTGTGTAAGGCTCCCTGCTCAGTGGGGAGTCTGCTTCTCTCTCTGCCTGCTGCTTACCCTGCTTGTGCTAATAAATAAATAAAATCTTAAAAAAAAAAAGAATTATGCATGGAGTTGGGGATACAGGGTGAATAAGAAAGCATGCACTGTGTCTTCCTCAAGAGCTTAGAGTCTAGCCGTAAGTATACACTCCTCAAAGGAAAGAACTGTAATTATCTGCCTAAAACTTTAGGTAGTTTTTCATAAAGAGCTTCCTGATATAGAATTAGAAATCATTTAGGGGGAAGACAAAAGTAAAGTCACATTATATGAATAATCTGAGCATGTTGTTATTCTAAAAATTTCATGATTTTGAAACTTTTCAGCAAGGTCAACAGGGTTAAAGTTACCTGTCCTCTCCTTACCCCATAAAGCCTTCCACTTGTTGAAATTTTTTTTCTTTTTACAGTGAGAGCTTGCATTTTCTTTAGAACTTCTATAATTAAAGCTCCAAAATATAGTGAAGACTAATATGGTTTCCATTTCTCGTCCTTATGTGCCCCCCCGTGACAGCATTGTATACATTCCATTCCTACGTAACAACAATACGTCTTTGCTTCTCAGAAGCAAAGTGATATCAAAGTCTAAGTCACATAAAGTTACTTTTGTCTAAGATCAACAAAATGGTATTTCGTCCCTTTCATTGTCCTTATGAATCAACAATTCATGATAAACCATAGTTGCAGAAAGCTCATGCTTTGACAGAGAATGCTTGTGGCAAAGCCTAGATTGGGTCCAAACCAACCAACCAAACCAAAAAAAAAAAAAAGTTTTTTTATGAAAGTTTCATTTTGTAACAATGTCATTGAAATTCCCAGCTCTGGTAAGATATTAATCCAATTAACTGCACAGATATAGAGTCCCAGTTCTCAGACTGGGTCTAATTTCCCTTCCTCATATCCATAGTCTCCTCTTCCCATATCAGAGTTACCACTAGACTAACTAATTTACATAAACTACTCACTTAATTTACATAAACTACTGAGTTAACTTTTATTTCACAACACAAAGCCGAACTTCATAGTTCTCTGTACATTAGGACAACCACTTGGCAATTTATTATAAAGGCCCATTTATGCCAGGAAACCTGTTGAGCAGGAAACCTTCAAGTGGGAACACAGAATTTAATGAAAGTCCTCAAAAGAGAAAAGTTGTTTGCATCGCCATTCTATTTTCATAGGTTTTGCTATTTTGTAACAATAGTAAAGGACCTGTGGCCCTTGGAAAAGCTTTTCTTTTCTCTTTTTAAGATTTTTATTTGAGAGACAGAGCGAGAGAGCGAGCACGAGCAGGGGCAGAGGGAGAGGGAGAGGGAGAGGGAGAAGCAGGCTTCTCTGCTGGGCAGGGAGCCTCAATGATGCAGGACTCCATTTCAGGACCCTGGGATCATGACCTGAGCTGAAGGCAGACGCTTAACTGACTGCGGTACCCAGGCGCCCCTCTTTTCTTTCTTCCTTTTTTTTTTTTTTTGAAAGATTTTATTTATTCATTTGAAAGAGAGAGAGCACACGTTCAGGGTGGGGATGGAGGCAGGAGGGAAGCTTGATAATCATGACCTGAGCAGAAATCAAGAGTTAGATGCTTAACCAAGTCACCCAGGTGCTCCCCCTTTTTTTAAATTTAAATTTTAGTTAACATACAGTGCAATATTGGTTTCTGAAGTAGAATTTTCAATGTCTTGGAAAAGCCTGGAAAATGCAAAATATAACTGGCCTTTTGATCAGAAAATAGCTTATTCACAACTGGAAATTGTCTGAGCCAATATAAAAGTTTGCAATCTTACAGCAGGAATCAGATTTCTTAAATGTCTAAATTTAGCTAGAGCTGAGTGATGAAGGATCTTACAGGGTCTCAAGTCTCTCAGGCAACCGAAAGTTTCAAGAAAAGTGCTACCTGGCAAAAGATATTTTGAAATATTACAAAATACAGGCATTCTTGGTATTTCACAAAAATTAGTACAAATTATATACAAATGTTACACTGAACTATTTCGATAATTTGCTTTTATTTTTCATATCCAGTGAAGGAAAAAGGAGACTGTGCACATTTTGAGGTAGATACATTTTTCTTCAAATTAACAGTTCCATGATTAAAAGACACTTATCTTCAGCCTTTCCAATATGCTAACTTTACTTTATATAGCACTTTCCAGGTTTGCATTTCTTTTTCAGAATACTTTAAGATCAGTGGATTGAAATATATCATATATATTTGAAATATGCCTACTATGAATCCATTTAGGGGTGAATGGATTATTTTTTCAACTGAAAAGACATTTATTACACATTGTACTTTAGGAGAAGAAATGACACTTTTGACACATTAATTGTACAGTTGAAACGGCAGGACTTAGAGGGGGAAACCATACATTTAGTTGCAAATAACTTACCTGGCATTACATTTAGTAATAGAGGTTGGCTCAGCCAGTTTAATATATTTTTGGGCCTTCATGTCTTTACCTGTAAAAAAGGACCTTAAACAGATCATCTCTAGGGAAGCTTCTAGTTTCACTCTTAATGGGATAAGCTTTGGTAACACCATCAGCGCAATGTACTTTGAATATGGAAAAGATGGTTCTTATAGTAGATTTTAGCTAAATTGCTTCTGCAAGCCCAGGTCCTTCCTGGCCCCTAAGATTTAGAAGCTTTGGCGTTGTTAATTAAACAAGGGGGCCATTAGATTGAGGTGGCTTAGAGACTTAGTATCCTAAATAAACAAACCAAAATGTAAGCCTGAAATGCCTCAAGGTTAAATCAAAACCCAAGGACAACAAATCACAAACAGCCAACAAGTCCTTCCCAAATAAGGCAACTGCTTAAGCTATAGCTAATCAAGTATTTTCCTCACCTTGCTTCTACGTCTCTGAAAAGTCTCTCCCCTAGCTCCTATTGGTGGAGGGATCCTAATCATTTTTAATCTGGCGTTGCCTGATTTGAGTCCATTTTTTGTTCAAAGAAACTCTTATTTTTATTTTCAGTAGGTTCCACGCCCCAATGTGGGGCTTGAAGACCCTGAGATCAGGAGTCACTCGTTCTACCGACTGAGCCAGCCAGGCACCCCTGGCAAAATCTTTCTTGAAAGCCACCAGCACTGCTTAACAAAGTCTTAAAAGTGTATATCTACTTTGAGGGCTCATTTTCATTTCTAAGAATCTAACCTAAGGAAATAACTAGGTAGAGTACAAAGATGAAGGTGTGCATGTTAAAGGATATTCAAACTAGACCTTATAATATAATCGGTAACTAAAATCTGTAACTTCAGGGGAGAGTTAGGTGGTTCCATGCAGTACTTACTGACTTGGGAAGTTATTTTATCTTCAATTTTTTGAAATTATCTTCTAATTTTTTTCTACAATGAATATAAATTACTTTCCTAACAAAGTAAATATACCAATTGGCTAATATGTTAATTCTTTCTTTTGCACATGTACCCACTACTCAGAATCAGATATTTTTAGTCTATTCTAAAAAATCATCAGTCCCTGAAACTGTTTAATTCCTTAGCTACTAAAACTGTTACCAATATGTGCTAAGAGTGGACGTGTTCCACTCCCAAGGGAGACTCCAATTGAGGAAAAAGAATAACTTACTGAGGAAAAGCTGTTATAAATGACAGAAGCACCATTTTTTTGTTATTGTTCTTAAAGTCAGGAAAAGACAAATCACGTCTTCACAATTTCCAGATAGTTGCTTCTTAAATTATGAAGAGCCATAGAAACAAGGTAGTGCAGCAAATACTTTTAATAAGAATACAAAATTCACACCAGAGGCACATTCTGGGGAATGTACAGGAACTATTACAAGTAGTAATTCTGCTGGAAGAATAAAATAAGGCTCTGTCAGAGTACAAATATACAGGAAGGAATGATTTAAAATAGGTTTATGATTTACAATCACATTACATTGTACATATTAAGCACTGAAAACAGGCATATTAATTAAAAAGCCAGCTAAAAGGCATTTGAACATATATAACAAATCTTATAGTCCACAGAGTTCATGTATAACAGTAATTTTTTTAGTACTTCATCTCAACACAAAAGAAATGAAGACATATTAATTTATGTCTATGACAAAAATCAAGAGAACTTATACTTAAAAGGCTTACATTACTGATAGAACCACACAGCGGATAGGTCAACTACATAACACAAACCCAACAGTGCTGAGCAACTAAAACAGTACTGGCCTTTCCAATCCCCTTTCTTGTTACCACCACACTGTCCCAGATTACCTTTCCATTACTCAAATGAAGAAAAATTCCTCCATCTTCTCATTCCATGAAAGGAATGAAGAAAAACCAAACAGCAAATTCAAAAGTTGATTTTACCATAAACCTGAACGTGGTTTAAGGAATACAAAGAAACCCAATACTGATACACAGTGTTCCTTTCCAAGGAAGGAAAAGACACGCCAAACATTATCTGAAAGGGGTTTCTTTATGGATTATGTACATTGGTTGAATGACAATTACTGTATCTGAGAAGGCACATATCTGTGATTTAAGGCTTAACCGGTATCGTTACATATGGAAGTCAATGAAAGCTGTCTAGGAATTCACTTCTGTCAAAATGGAATTTACTCCAAAACTTGCTTTCTAAGCACAGATTTCTACTCTAGAAACCATCAAGAGTTTCTATTCCCAAGTCCACCTGCCAAAAAAAATTCTCTTAAGCAGGTTTCATTATGAATCAAAAGAAATGGCTAACATAACTGCCCAATGACTTTGGGTGATGCAAACTGTTAAGCTCAAAAGCCTCACAGAAATGACAGTGTGATTCCTGCGTCTTAAAAAAAAAAAAAGGTTAAACAAAATTACAATAGTACAGAATCATTTTTAAAAAGGCATTTGCCACAACTCCACAAGCTAATCAGTCATTCATTAGAGCTGCCACCTCTGTGTGGATGCTGCAGGAACACCATATAATTTTACTCTGCAAAATAGTTTCTTTTTTCTTTAAGACAATACATGAAAATGAATCTCTTAAAGATGTTTAATATATTCATATATAAAATATCTGATGTTGATACAAATCATGTAAACGTCCCTTTGGAAAAGCTACAACTGGCCCTCTTTCCAGGACCAAAAATCTTGAATTTTTGTATCTGGTCAGTGCAAATCTATATTAGATGTTTTCAAACTACAGAAATAGCCATCAACCCTCACAATACAAAAGGATTTCTCAAAAAGGAAAATTATTGTGTTCAGATCATAGAAATTATGTTCACATTAAAATCACCCACCTTCCCATCAAATTTAACAGTTCAGTTGTTAAAGTATGAAAAAGGGAAAAATTAAAGCTGTTTGTGCAAGAATCACTACAATGGTTGTGGTCACCAGTTCCCTAATCTTAACCCAACTCTGCTTAATTCTTATTAGGTTTGTTTAGAAATATAATGACGTGACTTTTCTTTTTTTTTTTTTCCCCCGGGTGTGATTTTACTGTTCTTCAAGCCAAGATGGGGCGTCCACTCCAGGGGTTTTCAATTTGATATGGAACTGTTTAAGTGTCTGTTCAAGCTGCTTCTGATTCCCAGCAAAGTAAGCGGCAATGGCATTGTGGAAAAGAACCAGCTGATTGTGCAGCACTTTAACCTGTGAACAGGGCAGGGTCACAAGACCAAGTGTTAACACCAATGGCAATGAAATATAAGGTGACTTATCACATGTCCTCACTAAATAGTGTAGCTCTCATCAGGAAAAGCTGTTTTAATAAAGACCAAGTATTTCATACACACACACACACACACACACACACACACACACACACACAATCAGGAAAAGCTGTTTTAATAAAGACCAAGTATTTCATACACACACACACACACCCTGACTATACATCTTTGCAGGGTCACTGAGCCTTTGATGACTTTTTAATTTCCCTAAAGGGAACAGGTCAGTTTAAGAAGCTGTGTATTTTGTTAACCATATTCAAACACCACTGAGGGCATTAATTAAAAATACTACTAAATCCCCCCTCGGGGCACCTGGGTGGCTGTCATTAAGCATCTGCCTTCGGCTCAGGTCATGATCCCAGGGTCCTGGGATTGAGCCCCGCATCGGGCTCCCTGCTCAGCAGGAAGCCTGCTTCTCCCTCTCTTGCTCCCCCTGCTTGTGTTCCCTCTCTTGCTGTGTCTCTGTCAAATAAATAAAATCTTAAAAAAAAAAAAAAATGCCCCCTCAAACTAAATACATTCAAAATCAAATACTGAAGAGGGAAAATTATATATAAATATTTACTGTACCGTATATGCTATATACCAAATATGGACATCATTAAGGCTAAACTTTACGTAAAACAGAGTAGGCCAGATATTTTGAAATACTGCGGTTCTCTGCAAAGAATCAAGCCAAGTGGCAGCAAGTGTTGCCCAGAAAGCCAATTTACTTAAAGTTCACATGACTCTGTTATTTTCAAGTACTTAGTACTTCTAATGATAACAAGATTATGTTTTAACCAAGTTAAACCAAGCTACTTCTGTAAATCTTTATTAAAGAAATCAGCAAAGCACTACAAAGATTTATGAATAAAATTCTTTCCTGAGCTCTCATTTATAACTGCAAAAGTTCAAAGATAAAGTATAAAATATACTAACTTATCCATCTAATGCAATATTTATTACAACTGATCTTTAGGGGTGACTGGGTGGCTCAGTCAGTTAAGTGCCCGCCTTCGGCTCGAGTCATGATCCCAGGGACCTGGGATAGTGTCAGGCATCAGGCTCCTTGCTCAGCGGGGAGCCTGCTTCTCCCTCTGCCCCTCCACCTGCTTGTGTGCTCTGTTTCTCTCTCAAATAAAATCTTAAAAAAAAACTGAGCTGTAGTAATTTTTAGTGATGTTTGAACTTTAATAGTTTTTACTGATATAAAAACATCTGATATATAATGCTAAGGGAAAAACAGGACATGGCATTTTATATGACATTTACATTAATTTTATTATGACACACGAACACACACAAATAGTCTCTCTAGTCTTTTCTCCATCCATCTACCTCTACAAGGCAAACAACACAAACCTTTATATCAGATATTTATTTGTAAAGTCTTTATTTTAAAATTTAAAATATTATAAAAATAAGACACACTCCAGATTATAAAGTAAAACTTCCCGATCCATGCTTTCTGCACCTATTCCCTCCCCTGCCACACGAGAATCACTATTAATGTTTTATTGTGTTTCCTTTGAGAATTTTTCTACATGTATACATATTTAAAACACAAAGGGACTGCACTATGCACACTTTCAGTAATGCTGTTTCCTCAAAATATCTTAGCTATTTTGATGATGTCCTTAATGATGTCCATATTTGGTATATAGCATATACTGTATAGTAAATATTTATATATAATTTTCCCTCTTCAGTATTTGATTTTGAATGTATTTAGTTTGAGGGGGGATTTAGTAATATTTTTAATTAATGCCCTCAGTGGTGTTTGAATACGGTTAACAGAATACACAGCTTCTTAAACTGACCTATTCCCTTTAGGGAAATTGAAAAGTCATACATTAAATACAGTACCATACACTGTTCTTAGGAAAATAGAAAAAAATTCCTTTCCTCATGAGCTTCTATCCTCAGGGGGTGGGGAAAAGAGAAGGGAGACCAGAAACAACAGTAAGTATTGACACCCCAGGAAATGAGTATCTCAAGCCTTGAGGTTAGGCTAACTCTCAGACCCTTAGGTCATCTGGCATTGGGATGTACTTAAAAGTTGTTTAAAACAAAAGACATTTTTTCTCTTCTTCTGATAAAGAGAAAAAAAATTCTAGCAGGGATATAGTTTAAGAAGACCACATAGGAATAAACAATGAAAACTAAAAAAATGTCTATACGAACTAAAAGGGATATATCTTAAATTTACCTGGTCAGACATTAAGGCCTTTATAATGAAAACCTCTGGTAGCAGGTACAAGGACAAACATGAAACATTTAACACCATGTATCAGGCACTGTACTAGGGATTAAGGCACACGGCAGCAGAAAATTAGTATGATAAATGGGTAGTAAAAGCACATTGGGTTCACTTAAAATAAAAAAAGGGCACTTGTGGGGAGAGTAAGTTTTTTCAAGAAGTATTGGAGAAGAACATTGGGTGACTGCCTCCGGCTCAGGTCATGGTCCCAGGGTCCTGGGATCGAGCCCCGCATCGGGCTCCCTGCTCAGCGGGAAGCCTGCTTCTCCCTCTCCCACTCCCCCTGCTTGTGTTCCCTCTCTCGCTGTGTCTCTCTGTCAAATACATATAATCTTCAAAAAAAAAAAAAAAAGAAGAAGAACATTGGGACAGGAGAACTCCAGCTCCCCCGCCCTCTGCTTCTGAGATATGGGGGTATTTCAAAGGATGATGAGCCTCAACCTAAGGGCAATTATTAAAGAAACAGGATAATGTTAGGGAAAGCAGGCTTCTAAAAGGCAATTTAGGAAGTGAGCAAAATATTTGATTATACTGGACTGCTACGATAATGGCCCCAGAGAATCACTCTTCTCAGTAGGATTATCTACACCCTTGGAGAGTCTTCTGCAACGAGCTTGGCCATATAATATTAGAAAATGAGGCCTGATAGGCAAGCGCTTGCCCTCTTGGGACTACTGCTGCCACCTTTTGAGGATGCGCAGTCTAGCCTTCCTCCAAGAAGCCCACAGGGAGAGAGGGCCTTCATCCCAGCTACGCCCAGGGTTCAGCAGGCCTTCCAGCTGAAAGTGAAACCAGAAGAACCCATCTACCCAACCCACACAATTGCGGTAAATAATAAATCATTACTGTTCTAGGCCGCCAAGTTTAGGGTACTTTGTTATGCAGCAAAATATAAGGGGTACATCTATTAAAAAGGTCAAGAATGCATTTTCCTGGCAATGAACAAGGGTTTTAGAAAGCACAGTGAAAAGGAGGAACATCAAAAGGGGGAGGACAGGCTTGGAAAGAGGAAAGGCTAAGCTGGGTGATAAGTAAAGGAGCAAGTACCTGGGGAGGTTAGGAGTCGGGGTGGTTGCGAGATGAGAGAATGGAGAGAGAAAGCAGCTAGGGAACAGAGAGTCAAACAAGAGAGGCACATATGCCCCTAACTAGTCCCAAAAATCTAACTGCATTTTTGGAGTAAATGTAATATAGTATCTTTGAAGACTTTACTTCCAACGTTCTAGGAAGACCTGACAATTGCATTAGGCATAGTTTGATACTGGTTACAGCCTCCCAAAATTTGTATTTGTTATTCATTTAGGTCATCAGTAAAATATTCCCATTATTAGTATTGTTCCTTTACAGCAACAGCCAGAAAGGGCTGTGGTATCACGAGGCATGCATGCCAATCTTAGCTGTACCATTTCCCAGTTTTCTTTGTGACATCAGGTACAGGTTGCTTCTAAATTCACTGGCCAAGGTCTTTATCCATTTATCGGGGATGCCATTACCAAACTGCATATGTAGTGTCACTGTAAGGGTTAAGTGAAATGAGATACTACCTAGCACACCGTCTGATACACAGTAAGTACTCATCCAATTTCAGTGGAATCTAAGTTTACCTACTGGATAGTCAAAGCACATTGATTTTTCTTGGTAAAATAAAATGTCATTTATTTAGAAACTGATTTGGAACTTGTAAGAAGACCGTGATAATGTACTTTAGAATAACAAATACATTCGTCATTTGTGGCACAAAGCACCTAAAACCCTTATTATTTCCTAAGTGATAAGAGCGAATGGAGCATCTTTTGTTATATTATTTAGTGTCTTATCCTGTTCCTGAAATAGCCATAGTGCTATAAAGGTGAAAGAAATGACTTTTGTTAATAAAAAGCCCTTTTCAACCACACCTGACTTTATGTTAATGAGATTTCTGGAAGGCTCCTAGAAAACCAAGGTAAGAGCTGGTTGTCAGGGGAACCAAACTGTGATTGGAGTATGGGAATTTCAGCTCCACCTGCCCACTTCTGGGGAGGAGACAGTGGCTACAGGTTGAATAATTCACGAAGGGTCAATGATTTCATCAATGGTGCCTATGTAATGAAGCCCCCATAAAACCCCTTAAGTACGTGATCTGGAGAGTTTCTGGGTTGGTGAATGCATCCGCAGGCTAGGAAAGTGGTGCACCCCCAAATCCATGGGGACAGAGGCTCTTATGCTCAGGACCTTTACAGACCTTGACCCCTATGCGCTTCTTTATCTGGTTATTCATTTGTATCCTTCAATAGCCCTTGTGATAAACTGGTAACCTAGTAAGTAAACGGTTTTCTTGAGTTCCGTGAGACACTCTAGCATACAATCCAAGTTGAGGAGGGGGTTGTGGAAACCTTTTATGTATGGTCAGAAGCACTGGTGACAACCTGACTTGCGACTGGTGTCAGAAGGTGGAGGGGGTGGGGGCAGCGTCAGAACTGAATTGAACTGTGGAATACCCAGCTGGTGTCCAGGATTGAGAATCAGTTGGTGTGGGAAAAACCCCACACATCTGGTGTTTGAAAAGTGCTTTGAGTGTAAAAGAAGAAAGAGTTTTCTCCTTTCCAAAGGCAGACAGAAACTGATGTGAAGTTTACCTTAGCACAATGAAAAAAAAAAAAGGTGTGTGCTAAGCAAATAAATTTTGTTGAAAAGATGCA